TTGTTGTGCTCAAATTCTTTGGATGAAACAAACTCTTTGTGATTTTGGATTAAAGTTTGAAAATGTGCCTATATTTTGTGATAATACAAGTGCCATAAATTTGACTAAAAATCCTATACATCATTCTAGGACTAAGCGTATTGATATTAGACATCACTTTATAAGAGAGCATGTGCAAAATGGTCATATTACTCCTGAATTTGTAAGCTCAAATAATCAATTAGCAGATATTTTTACCAAGCCTTTAAATGAATAATGCTTTAGCAAAATTAGGCTTGAACTTGGTATTATTCGTTGTGATGCATCTTGATTTTGTATTTGTTATTTTTTTAAAATGCATATTGATAGGGAGAGCATTTATGCAAAATTGTGTTCATATTTTTAGGGGGAGCTTTTTATGTTATTAATTATTTTTTTTTTGATGATTCCAAAGGGGGAGAAGTTTAAGAAAAATTTGTTCTAAAAATGTTTCATGATTTATTGGTTTATTAATCCATGGATGTATCAATTGAGGGGGAGAAATTAATCTTTGAATGTTTTTTAAGTAAAGTATGATATTTTGGATGTACTATGATGTCTATGTATTTTTCTTTGGAAGTTTGTCATCATCAAAAAGGGGGAGATTGTTGGCTTTTTGGCCTTAATCTCAAATTAATTGATTTTAATTAATTAATGTTTTGATGATAACAAACTTAATTTTATTTATTGACATTTTTTGTATTTTAAAGTGTCCAAAGTGTAGAGCTCGTTACAACGATTCCAACGACTGTTAGATCATCCAAATCGGAGCTCAAATGGAGAAGTTACGATCGAAACAAATTGGAAGGAAAAATACCCGAGAAGATGACGTGGACAGTTCGTAAGCTAACAAGTGACAAGTTTCGTTTTAAAATATATATATATATTGAAAAAGAAAAGAAAAAGATTAAAAAAAACCACTTCATATTAAATGCAGTGTCAGTATTTAAAAAAAAAATTGAAAAGTTTACCGTTTTCTCACATATATATATAATTAAAAAAAACTTGTCACAACTGTCACATCTCTGTTTTATATATATATATATATATATTATTCTTAATTTATTTTTTTAAAATTATCTCAACCCTTCATTCTTAATGATTAAGATCTAATGGTTTAAAATTAAACTTGATTTTTTTTACCATTTTCTTCCCTCTATTTAAACTAAACTTCTCATTCAAAATCATACAACAATTCTCTTATTCTCAATCCTCCATAACTTCAAAATTTTCATTTTGCTAATCTCTCCAAGTTCTCAATTTTTCTTTCCATCTTATTTGTGAGAGAAATTTTATTGTTGTGAGGATTGAAATTTTTGTGAGCTCAAATTTGTATATTTACTCTATTTGAGAGTTTGTAAGTGTGTRTTTCAAAATCTTCAACTCATTGTAACGGTGTGATCCTCACCGTRGAGARGATCGTCTTTGCTCTTRTGAAGAGCAGTGTACCGGTTTGACTCCTACYGTGGAAAGAGTCAGATTTTCAATTTACAACCCAAGAGGTGYTTGGGAAGTGGAGTAGGACAKTTGTGCCGAACCACTATAAAATTTCCGGTGTCATTTTATCTAACCCTACTCTATTTAATTTTTGCAATTAATTTTCTTTATTACAAATTGCATAAAATTAATTGTTCGAATTTGTTATTCATATTTATGCTCAATGTTTATATTTGAATTATTTGGGTGGTGAAATTAATTAGGGTGTTTGTATTTCTAATTTATTGTTTAATTTGTGATAAAATTAATTGTTCCTAAAAAAGTTTACTTATTTGTTTAAATTTGGGCCCACCGTAGTAAAAAGTTTATAAAGTTTAATTAAACCCTATTCACCCCCTCTAGGGTTGTCATACCGATCCAACACATTGAAGGTAAAAAAGTTACATTTATATCTGATCAACAAAAGGCAATCTTATTATTTGTTAGACTTATAATTTCAGGGTTTAGTACCAGTCTTCAGTGGATTAATTCCAAACTCATAACATCGCTTTTGTGTGAGACATATCTGTAGCAACATGAGAAATAGGTTTCCTGGACAGCAGTTGAAAGAGTTTTTTTGGGAGCAGCCAATGCAACATATTACAATCAATGGGAGAGGGAGATGCAAAAAATGAAGAAAGTAGATGAAGGTGCATACAAGTGGGTGTTGGCATTTCCTCATGAGAAATGGAGTAAGCATGCATTTAGTTGCGGGTCTAAATGTGATTCTCTAGTTAATAATCTATGTGAGGTATTTAATGCTACCATCCTTGAAGCTAGAGACCAACCAATTATTTCTCTATGTAAATGGATTAGAACTTATCTAATGAGAAGATTTCAAAATAATAGAGAGAAAGTTGACAAGTTTAAAGGCGATGTGTGTCCCAAAATGAAAAAGAAAATTGAAGAAGAGAAATTGCATAGCAGGAATTGGTTACCTGTGTAGGCTGGTGATTTAAAATTTGAGGTTAGGAATGGTTGGGGTGATAAGTGTGTTGTAGACCTTGATGCAAGGACTTGTAGTTGTAGAAAATGGGATCTAAGTGGCTTACCATGTCATCAAGCCATTAGTTGTATTTTCTATAAACGATATAAAGTTGAGACATATGTTGAAGATTGCTATAAAAAGAAGGCCTACATTGCATGCTACGAGCCTCTTATTTACCCAACCAATGGTCCAAACTTGTGGACAAGTACAAATTTTAGTATTATTAATCCACCTCATCTTAGAAGAGCTCCTGGTAGGCCAAAGAAATTACGAAGAAGAGAGCCTGATGAACCCAAAAAAAGTAGCACAATTGGTAGAAGAAAATTATCTATGAAATACACTAAATGTAACCAATTTGACCACAACAAAAGGAGTTGTAAAGGGCCAATGGATAAAGAAAAACTTCTCCAGATTAGTAATTCAAATAACTCTTGACTTAAATTTTATTTCTATAATATCATGGTTGTAAATCTATTTTTTTTCTTACTTCTTAACGATTTAGTAGGAAAGTTCGTCATCTCAAACCATTCAAATGAATAAACGGTCAAAGTTGCCTATAAAAGTTCGAAGAGAGTAGAACTTTTAACTGAGATTACTGAGATTAAGCTACTTATAGATTTTTACAATGATAGATGTGAAAGTGTGAGAAACTAGTTTGTTTTGTTATGACACTAGGATTTTGGAAAGGAGTATTTTTTGTAATATCAGTTGTGAAAATTTTTTTTGTGATGACAGTTACGTTGCAGAAGTTTTTATATTTTAAAGTGACTTACTATGTCTTTTGTGTTCTTTATCCATAGAGATTGAGATTTATGTTTAGTAAATTATTTATTGGAGTAGTGAATATGATTAGTGCTAATAGATTAATATTGCAATTATGATATCATTCCCAGAGACCCAAACTAAAAACAAAAAAGAATTAAGCAACATGATTGTACTTGCTTATTTGTTTGTCTAATAGACAAACTATCATCAATTTTGAACCTTTTAATCTCTTTGACAAAAAGGAGGCGAGCATTGCACAACTACTAAACTAAAATAAGTTTGATCTATGCCAAGGTTTGAATCTAAGGTTAAAAAACAGACCAGAAAATTGAATATATGAGTATGATGTATATTTTCTGTATTATTTCCAAAAAAAAATTTGATCAAATACAAGCTGCTCTTTCTGTTTTAAAAGAGAGTGTAGAAAGAATAACTAATGGTTAAATGTGTAAGTGTTGCTATCCAATAGCTGGCGGATGTGCTGGAGGCTTCACTGATGCTCCTAATGTTGTCGAGTCGTGATAAATTATTGAGATACGACTCATCTCTTTTAACCAAGTATTTTCTCTAAAACGTAAACCCCTCCATAAGTTTACAATGTTTATTAATTTGAATTTGATATTCTTCAAACTTCTTGGCAATTACCTACAGAAATCAATAACAACTTTAGTATAAAATTGACGAACTTAGAAAATTTATAAACATAGTATGAGGTATGATTGCATTAACTTCGTCAAAGAAAATCAAGATTCTAGCTCAGAAATATGGTGACTAACAGATGCTACTTTAAAAACTCACATTTTTTTAAACTCCCACTTGAAAAAAAAAATTATTAGTCAGAACAGAGATAGACATCAAATAGTCAATCATTCAATGACAGGCCACGAGTTCGAACACCAGGCAAGGCATATCCAAATATTCCAGTTCAGGATTTGTGATGTCCAAGAGGACATGAAAATGAAAATAGGGATAAAAACTTACCAGACGCCATGTCCATGTTTATGTTCAAAATATAGATTAAATGGCAAGCTAAAAAGTCTTTGACACTCTTACGAAGATATGAATTCTAACCCATAATGAGACCGGTTGCAATTTGATTTAATTTGAAAATTCCTCCAATGAAATCAAAAGTCAAAATTATAGAATTAAATGAAGAGTTGCAGTTAGAGTGGTTGGTGATGGTTTAGTACTCCAGCTCGAAATGAATCTTAATCATCTACGAACTAACTAAACAACACAGAGACTGTTGCACTAAAATTCTGACCAATTCAACTGTTAAGCTAAAATAGGAGAGGAAGATAATCATCGGAGAAAATTAAAACAGCTCATGTATCTTATTGAGAATGAGAAAAATCCAACAAAATAAAAAAAAAACACGAACATAATCAAATGCCTAACTTAGAAAAGAAGAAAGAACATGTCACATACCGTTCCGGCAACTCTCTTGTTCTCTTTGGGCAAAATAGTCGGATACACACGTCCTTTAATGCTAAATCTGTGACTGCAAATTCAAAACAACAAAATTTATCCCAAATTGGCGCATGTAATCCATAAACGATAAGACGATGAACATTCAAAAGCAACATGGCAGGCTCCTTTTGTTCATTAGTTTAGTACCAATTATGCAATAAACAACAGTATTTATTAACCTAAGAAATTAGGAAATCAGATTCCTACAAAAAATCGCTCCAATCATTTTGGATCATTCTCATTTAAGAAGAAGCAATAAAGCGACTATGGATAGAAAAGAGTTGGTAAGAACAGGTGACTAGCCATTGGAGCAGTACATGACGATTGAGGAATGCGCCTCGAGAGAACACGAACGACATCATCTGCTAAGAGATTTCCATAGACGAAAATTTTGTGAAGGCTGTGCAATTTATCAGAGGAGAAGCCGCAACCACGAGCGACGACGGCACCGTCGAACTAATCTTTCGCCGGAAGCGCGATTGAGAGAGAATTGTAGATCGTCCATTCCACGAATTTTCTTTCTTTCTTCTTTTTCTTTAAGCCCTAGACCGAATCAAATTTGAACCGGACCTAACTTGAACCAACCCATAAATATGTACACATGGCTTTTTAATATGTACACGTGTATCCTAGTTGGCGGCCATGTCAATTTTCTGTTAAATCTAACTTTAACATTTAACAGTAGGGACTAAATCGTTACCAATTTAAAAGTACAGGGATTAAATCGTTATTTTTGAAAATTCATAGACTAAATTGTTATTTTAACGAAAGTTCAGGGACTAAATGTACTTTTTAACCAAAAAAATAAATAAGTAAAATATGCAAAACGTAAAATTTGATCCGAAAAGACATTTCGACACAAAGGTAGGTTAATGCATATTTTATCAAGAAAAGACATTGGGGTAGGTTAAGAAATATATTGTTAGGAAGAAAAAAGAAAGAAACAAAACAGAAAAAGGGAATAGGGTAAAAAACAAACGAAACAAAAAAAAAAGGCAAATTGGGATTCGAACTAGGGAACAGGGGAGGGGCACGTCAATAAACCACATACTTTTCTTTTCTTTTTTTTTTTCAATACATGCTAAATAATATTTCATTAAAAATTCACCTTCGTAGATTCGCCCGTGGACCTATATAGTTGTGTGATTACAAGGATGTATTTTTGTGAAAGTTTATAGTGGCAATTATCCTCTCTCTATCTTACTTATTGTCATGAATACGTAATTACAAATGTGCTTTGCTAAATAAGACTCTACTCTATTAATTAATAGTAAATTTGGAATGCCTTATCAAAAATCAAGTGTACAATGAAATAAACTGGTATTTGGTAAACATAATTATAAAATAAACAAAGTCATTGGCCTCCAAAATATGTTCTCCAAACTCAGCCTTGCTTGTATCGACTTTTTAATATTTGTTCTAGTAATGTTTATATAATTTATTATAACTATAATTATTATTCTTTTTTTCTTTTTAGCTGGAGAAGAGATTCAAACTTCAACTTTTAAGAAAGTTAACAAAAATCTTTGCGTGTTAATCTTATTCCATTGTACTATATATATACTAGTCAGAAACACGTGCGATGCACGAAAAATTTCATAGTTTTATTTTAGAGTTTAAAAGTATAAAAATTAATTAAACAATTAAAAAGTTTACTACAATTTGACTTTTTTCTCTCAACGTTTTTATCTCACCAACATGTTATTCTCCACTTACGACGTTGTAGTAAATCCCATCACCCAAATTTATTGACTAAAAAAATTGAGAAACATTGTTACTTAAAAATTTTTCATAAGTGAAATACACTAAGAAAAATAAGTGAAATACATCAAGAAAGAATAAATAATTTAACACATATTCTTAAATTTTCACCATTTTTTGTTCATAAAAATAACAATTTCTAAAAGAAATAAAACTTTATGTTGGTTTCTTGTTTGAGTCATTGAAAAGAAAGTAAATATGTCATTTTTGAGTTTTTTCTAATAAATTACTTATTGTATGTAATAAGTCTTTGTAACAATTATTCACGTTGCATTATAATTAAAAGAAAAATTAAAAATTGAAGGTTCAAACAATCTAACTAAAATATGAAAAAAAAAAATCAAGACATAAGAAAACATTCGAATGAAAAAAAAAAAGAGAAAGAGTTACCAAACTTTTCAACTTTTCAACTTATTAATTATAAATAAGCCATAACTTCTTTTAATATTTTTTTTTTCGAAACATCAACTTTTTTTTAATTAATTTATAGAAATAAAAATTTACACATTTTAATTATGTGAAATTTTATTATTAATTATAATTAAAAACAACTATAATTTTTTCAATTAATATTATAGAAACAAAGAGACAAAACTTGACCTATCCTACCTTAATTTTTAATATTATCTTAACTCTTTATTTTTACTCAATAATTAATAGTTCTTTTGATGATTCAATAATTAATGAAAAAATTAATTTGAGAAAAAAAAATAATTGACAAAATAATATAGAGGGTGTGTATTAATTGGAGGAACCTGGACCGAGAGACACATCTATAGACAATAGATTAGAGAGATATTTGTATTTAGAAATCAAAATTGTCCTAATAATAGTGAAATTTTTTGAAATAGAAGGATAAAATTAACGTAAAAGTTTTATTTTGTGCATTTTTCTTTTTTCTCAAAAGCTCTTGATCACATTTTATATTACCAACCTATGTTCTTAATTTACTATTTCTTTTCCTTAATTATTATCATTATATTACATTTTAAGTTTGTTAATTTTTTAACGCTGTTTGGGGAAGGGTATACTCGGGACACGTGGAAGACCCCTATTGGTGCCCCAAGATGACTCATGAATCACGCCCAGCTCGGAAGGCCGAGATGCCCGCCACCAACGCCGACAAATGCCAAGTGTGAGGGCCGAGGTGAGCCCGGCTCAGGTCCGACCCACCGGGGAGCCCGGTATGGGCCGAGATGCGC